ACACTCGAGAAAGGATTAACAATACATTTCGCGCGTGGGTAGTGTCGCAAAGGCGCTCTTGCGTAACGCGGTATCGATTATCGTTAGAGAGTTATCGATTGTGCGATCAATTGATAAAAACTGCGAGCAAAAGGGAGAAATGGTCCGGAGAGAAAGAGAAAAACGAAAGGAAGTTAACTGAGTTTTTACGGCTCGGAAGAGAGATTGTCGTTCGATTTGCAAGGGAAGATATCTCTCATTTTTTTATTATAAATTCATGCGCTGTTTGTTTCCCGCATTATAAGAAAATGGAATAAAGTGATTTTTATCGGTAATAAAAAATTCATATCAGAAATTTATATCAGATTTATATCATATTTATATCAGATCAATTTATATCAGTGGATTCGATAGATTAAAAAAAAATTAGAAAGTAAATTAGAGTATAAATACATATAACAAAAAGAGAGTATAAAGAATAAAAAATATATATTTGTCTGTAAAAGAACTATGATGTCACAAATGGTGTTTAGAAAAGTTTTGTAAAAAAAAAATTGAAAAGAACAGACGAAAAGCTTCTCTCGAGGAATGATACTATCAAATTGATCTAAATTTCACAAATTTCATTCAATGCGAAAATTTTCTTTCTTCAAAAAATCAAGCGATATCTATAAATCTTAAAGAAAATAAGTGCGAAATTTAATTCACACAAACCGTCTTTATGAACACTTTCCCCATCACGGCCGCGAAATTCCTGCGCGATGCGTTACACAAGTTATAAAAAGCGGCATTTTATTGCGAGGCTCGGTACAAAATGAGATTTGCGAAATTAGGGCGAGCGCATGATCCTATAGTATTCGCGTCGCTTTCCTGATACATCTTAATCGGATACGCAATTATCGATTCGTCATACCATTCCTTTGAGATGTATTACATAAATCGAATCTCGTGCAAAAACGTTTCTATATGTATCTTAAATACCCGTTCTTGCCACATTAGTTCTTTCTCTTTGTTTTTGAAAAAAATATTTGATTGTGCGCAAAAAATTCGACAACAAGAAACTCATAGATTCATTACTTTAACTTTAAAATAAAAATAAAAAAAACTAATTGTTGATGTTTTATATATACAGAGTGTCAGGGCAATCTCCTCCCAAAAAAAGTTCTTGTAGCTTACCTCAAGAGCTTTTCAAAATACTATAATAAAATATTTTTTCATCGAGTACTTTTCAAATTATGAGGCTTGAAATAATTTTTACATAAACTATAAAATATCCAGTAAAATATTCATTTTTCGATTATCTTACCTTACTTTTATGTACAAAATAATGAGAGGAATCAATTCGTGTAAAGAAAACACATAATTGTTCGAGAAAAAAAATGTAATTGTTAATTGCAAATGACATTTTTTCTTCGAAGCAATTATGTATTTTCTTTACACCAATTAATTCCTCTCATTATTTTGTATATAAAAGTATTAAATAATCGAAAAATGAATATTTTACTAGATATTTTATGGTTTATGTAAAAATTAAGAAATAATTTCAAGCCTCATAACTCGAAAAGTACTCGATGAAAAAATACTTTATTATAGTATTTTGAAAAGTTCTCAAAGGTAAGCTACAAGAGCTTTTTTTTGGGAGGAGATTGACACCTGACATCTTATATATCTTATACATTTTTTTCGTATCAATAGGAAAATATTGGCAGCTATTAACTGTTTAAATTAAAAACTCAAATATCGTATTGGGAAAATAGAATCAATTCAAGTATTGCCCGGCCAAGCAGTTATGGCCAGAGGTGGTCAGCTGCGTCAATAAAAAAAATAGCCCGTATCAATAGGAAAATATTGGCAGTTATTAACGGTTTAGATTAAAAACTCAAATATCGTATTGAGAAAATAGAATCAATTCAAGTATTGCCCGGCCAAGCAGATATGGCCAGAGGTGGTCAGCCGCGTCAATAAAAAAAAATAGCCAAGCGGTAATAGTTGCAAGACGGAACCGGCTTTCGTTTTAGAGATAAGCGGTCTTTTAAAGCTGTCGAAATTCTTCAAAAAGATTACGTTGAACACGTATGTAACAAGCGTTGAAATTGTTATATAAATCGATCAACTGTTTAAATATTAAAGTGCAAAGGCGCAGTTTCGTTTCACTGTAATAGAAGATAGAAAAAATATGATGTCCACAATTATTTAAAAGTATAATATTTTGATGACGTTTGAGTGATTGACGTAAAAGTGATAAAAAATGCAATCAATCGCAAGATTGGGAAAACAGATTTACCGGCACAATAATAGATGATTGACCAGTCTAACTTATATGAGAAAACGGTATAAACGGCGGAATAAATAATATATAAAGAAAGAAAAGTTCTTCATTATTTCGACTTTTACTTCTCTTATACTTTTGCTCGGTTCGAGCGAAACGAGCAGAGAGGACGAGATGACTCATTGATTCTTTCTATCGATTATTGCGACCGTCAAGATTACGGCGAGAAATTGCCTATAAATCTGCGCATGCTTCTTCGACCTAGATCGCGAAATATCTTATTCAAACACGACAGAAAATCCTGCTACTGTGAAACAGATATTTCTCTCTGTCGAGAATTCCTCGTAGGAATACATCGTCGCTCATGAGAGTTAAACAACGATAATTCGCGGTTTTACAAAGGTCTGAAAGAAAGCGTGTAATAACAGTTTCACGTATAATTGCGATTATAATTTGCGACATAGAACATATTCTTATCCGCTTATCGGTAATTTAACTTATTTCTTTAATTAACTGAATCGTTCGCGTTACAGCTGTTTCTCTGCATCGCATGCACGGTCAAAGATCCCTATCTGTCTTATATTTATGAAAAATATATTACACGTATTTTTTTTATCACTGCAAGTGCAATAAATATCCAGAATGACTGAAACTACTCGCGTGGTTGAGTAGAAAGAAGAGAGATTTTCTCTCTTGGAAATTCTGTATCGGAATCACGCGGAGATGGAATAGAAATTGTATAGGTGTAACATGCGTAGAGTATCTCGTGTAGGGGAGTGCGTGATGCGTAGCACGTGTGCGAATGAAAGTGAGAGAGTTTCCTGCGACGCTTCAGGAAACGTCAGAATCGATCAACAAGATTCGACAAACAAGGCTAAATATATTGAATCGCGGAAGCGAGCTTCGCGATTTTCAATTCGCGACAAAACTCGCGTAAATTTTCGCGTAAATTTTTATTAACGATTAAACGCTCGATGCATTGAAAATGAATAAGAAAATTTATTTCCCTTAATTTTTAAAGAACATAAACTTTATATCTATCATATGAAGTATCGCGAGATTCGATGGATCTGAAATATTAGCGATATAACGAAAGGAAATGACAAAAATTAAAAATCGAAAGCCAAACATCAAAATGACTAGTATACTAGATTATGCTAATCGGAATGTATGCTAATTAAGAGATATCGATTAAACGATGTTAAAGTAGGTAATCTTAAGTCGAAAGTAAAACTCGTAGAAATATAAGTTAAAGGATCTTGAAGAGGATATAAGTGAATATTTTTCAACCTGAATTAATAAACCTAATATTTATTAAATTGTTCCTGAACTGTTATTAATTCCAAGCTTAATCGTATCAATGATATTTCAATCACGCTTTTCCTATTCAGAATAAAAATTTGATTGCGGACAGAAAGAGAGAGGAAGAGAGAAAAACATGAAATGCAAACGGATTAAATCATTTAAGATCAGTTCGATACAAAACTTGGCGATTTGGGCCATTGCCTATCATCTACACATAACTGCGACGATAAATGCGGTGAGTTTCTCGCGTCCGTCGATTTTCTCGTTCTACAGACGATGGGAAGAAAAGATTAGTGTCTCTAATCGCGGAAAATTGGCGAATACAGAGAAAACGATCGGGTACAATAACATATTAATTTGCAATTTTCTTTAATCATATTTTTTGACATATTTTATGGTGTTTCAAGAATTTATTTTGTCAATAATTAATTGTCAATAATTGTCAATAATAATTGTCAATACTTTCGTTTAACTTATCAATATTTATCAATAATATTCTCTATTATAAAAAATTTAATGAAAATGATATACATATTAACAAATAATATATTTTAAAATAATAAATTTTAAAATAATATATTATAATATATTTATAATATATTTTATGATATATTTTAAAAGAGAAAATTATAAAAAAATTGTACGTGCCGCAAAAAATAGAAGAAAGAATTTATGCATTCATGAAGCGATGCTGAGGATTTTGCATATACAAGGAACAAGCAATGAATGAAGAACGAAAAAAAAGTAATAGTGTGATTTAAATTTTTCGGAGCAGTTATAGGCGCGCGTCTACAGTTGTGTACAGTGAAAGCAGATATTTCGAGTCGAAGAAAAATAGGAGGAACTGGTTGAAATCAGTTTACGTCTAGGTGACGGGCCGTACATAATGTTACATATGCAATCCGTCGTTATGTAATATATACATATATATATATATATATATATATATATATATATATATATGTGCGTGCGTGCGTGCGTGCGTGCGTGCGTGCGTGCGTGCGTGCGTGCGTGCGTGCGTGCGTGCGTGCGTGCGTGCGTGCGTGTGTGTGTGTGTGTGTGTGTGTTTCGCCGATATACTTGACTAAAAAATATAATCTAAAGAGTACAAATACAATCAACATCGATTCTAGCATGATTAATGGAGAATCGAATTATGATCATTTGTAGATAGAAGATGATTCTATTTCTCTTCTTTCAGAGTTTGAAATATTGCTTCTACCAAACGACAGGTGTACTTTGTATGCTTTCTTAATTGTTAGAAAACACAATTCATCATAAATTCCCGTCTTTCAATAATCCCCTCAAATTTTTCAATAATCGCAATTCAAAGGAAAATTTGTTTCATCTGTATTTTTGAATTTATTAATTTGTTTTCTATCAAAATAATCCATTTAATTAATTATTTTCTAAGAATCTCAGATAAGAAGGACAACAAATGGTTAACCTGTATAGTTCGGCGGCCAGTAACTGTCCTCGCAATCGATCTGCGATCGTCTCACGTTCGATGATCCTTGCCAGAGAATCTTTCGTTCTTGCGGCAATCTCTTTTCAGATAAGTTCTTCCTTGCAGCCTCTTCAGGAGGATCTAGCGGTCCCCGCGAACACGTGTGTCTTCGCGCATGTTAATGCACGCGGACAATCGCACGCGCCGAGAATCATGCTGTCCTGAGAAAACGCGAGCCTCTCATCGTCAGGCGGGTCGCTGACGACGCTCGATCATCGATTCCGTCGTCGCGAATCGATCCACCGAAAAACCGAAAGATACACAGCAAGCACACTTTCTCTTGCCAGTTGCACACCACGCACACGCTCGCGAAATCGGCGGCTTCCTCGAGACTTTGCTAGATCAAGCGAAGAGGGAGTAGCTCGCCACGTGCCGCGGAAACTGGGGATATGTCTTCTCGCGAGAGTATCTCGTTCGATGGGAATATAAATTATTATGTAAATTATTGCGTAATATAAAAAAATGTTAGAAAGAGCCTCGACTTTTTGTAGCAAAGTGTTTCCGGAAACTAATATAATCTAGATTATTAAAAAAAAAATTTCTTCCTTGTTTCAAAATCCGTTTACAATACTTTCGTTATAAACATTTTACACATGTAATTTATATTCTTGTCAAACTACGAATTTCGAATTTTACGACCTGATTTTTTTCGAATTGTTTCATGAAGTAGAATTTAAATTTAATGTTTATATATCGCGACGCGAAATTTTTTGGAGCACTCCGTCGAATTCTTTTTTTTTTGTGTTTTTACACTAATCACTCACCAGGATCTAAGGCACCGTGTGCTCGAACCGACGGACTATCCTGGAATTAATGTCGGATTCAGTCAACCTCGCTCTGTGGAAGCGATCGTCAGACTAAAGTCGTCGCACCGCTTGTAAGAGTACGTGCATGGGTTTCTTATCCCTTCTGTTAGCACAAGATCCCCTCTTTCTTTCTCTTCTTTCGTCGGAATCTTGGCTCTTCCGATATTGTGATTTGTTTATCGATTAGATAATCCTGGAAGCACATAATTTTCTTCATTAATTTAAAAAATATATATATTTGAATTTTTTCTATACAGAGCACAAAATGTCTTGCAAAAGATTAGATTGTTTTTTGAAATTAGATATTATTTAACGAAAGAATGTTGTCTTCTTTTGATACGTAAAAATTTTATATCAACTTTAATATTTTGTTTTAATTCAAATTTCTTTACACAAATTTTATTTTTATTTTTATGCGTGAATGTAAAGCATAAATCGCATTTACGAGACATTGTTGTGCATAATAATTATGTCTAACAAAAGAAGATAAAACCGTCGCATAATCGTTTTAAAGGTAAAGTTGAAAATGTGTGTGTGTGTGTGTGTGTGTGTGTGTGTGTGTGTGTGTGTGTAATGTCACTTTCGATAAATCTTGCCGAAATTACACGCTCACTCCCAACAATCTTAATCACCACTCTGTCGACGCCGAAGAAAAACGCAGCAGAAAAACAGATAATTTTCTCGTATTCATTTATTTAATCATTTTGTAATATTGTGATTACTTCATAATAATTTCTTCAAAATCCTATTTCTTAAAATCCCAGTTTGCTTTAAAGAATCAAAAAAATCGATTTTTTATATTTGATTTTTCTTATATCTGAAGAATATGTCTTCCAAATTTTATTGAAAAATTCGCAAAACTGACAGAGTTATAAGACTTTAAATAGCATTTTAAAAAACTAATATTTAATATTTTTTTTTTTATATTTTAAGAAATGAAAAAATTTCAGCAAAATTGAAATATCTAATTTTAAAATATTATTTTGTCATGTGTGTTTCACAATTTTTTAAATAAAATTAGATTAAATATTTAAAAGACATCCTACGAAATATAAAATAAAATTATATATAGACCAAGTTTCTTCACTTCATTACACAAGAAACATTATGTCACATCATCGAACATTTTTTATGTATTTTTTAACACGTTTCACGCAGAGGCTGATATTGACTAAAAAAGGCTAAGTATTCAAGATTTAAAAATATTGATATACTGTTTAAGCATCATTTAAACATCAATAGAAATATATGTAAAAAAAATGCCAAAGAGATAAATTTCTAATATTCTTCAAATTTATAAAAATCATCAATTTTTCATATTGCTATAGTAAACTGGATCTTTAACAGAACATTAAGTAATTATTATATATGTCATGATCTGTATATAGCATATATATAAAATCTTATATACGACTTCAAGATAAATTAACGAAAAAATACATATCAACTTTTAGCACATCATTGCATTGTTTTTAAATATAATCAATTTAATTCTAATAATAATTTTTAAGAAATTACAAAATGTTTTCGATATTAATTGCAGAAATTGTTTCCATTATCGATTTTTGATGCAGAAAAGGCATTAACAAAAAGTCGAGCAGTTACGAGCAAGTACGAACTGAATTCGAGGGATCAGACCGAAGGTAGGTAAGTGAATTGTCGCGAAGGTCGCCCAGCTCACTTTTCCCCTGCACTTTTCTTGGTTGTTCTCGACTTCTTACAAACCTTTTACTCTTGTCTGTCCGTCTGTTACATTTCATTACATTGAATCGTTTCTATAAAAATGCCTTAATTAATTTAATTTAATTTTTAAATATTACTTTTATTTTTTATTCTAATTTTTTTCCTAATAAAATTTGCATATGTTCCATTCATTATCGGTGCAATTATGGATTTTTATAAGAAAATCTCTTTTTTTATTAAGCTTCTTTATTTATATATATCCCTGCTTTTTTTTCAAATATAGAATTTATATCAAATATTTATATTTATGTTAAATTTAAATGAAACATTGTTTTGATACGAATTTATCTCATTATCAGATGTCGCAAATTTAAACAACGACGGAGTTGCAAAATATTTTTTATCAGGGCGCTCTTGAGATTTATAGATCTCAACGCAACAATATTCGTTAATCGGCATGAATCTGTCAGCACGTCGCCAATCTTTCGTATTGTAAGCATAGAAAATCACGTCGCAGTATTAAACTCTGGCAACCGCTTCGCAGAGAAAGGCGGCCACCCACCGGCTTACACAACTGCTTTGCTCCAGTTATTAGTATGTGACTCTTTTGCCGGTTGGGCGACCTGACGAACCGTGACGTGCGACAGGATTGTCATTTGAGTCTCTCTAAAAAAAAAAAGAATTTCAAAGCTGAATAAAGCACGGGATAAAATTCTTGTTGCGACCCTCAATCGAATTTTTTATCCTTTTCCGTGATTGCGTCGCAAGCAATAAGAATTGTGCAAATATTTCTCTAGAAATATAATAACTAAAAATATCTCCCATTTCCTCTTTTGTTATGCAAATATAAATTGATATAAAAATAATCGAAAAGCGTAAAAACGAACTCGTTTATTATTCGTTATGTAGAAATAATTGATTGATTGCAAGCATTAAAGAGTAATTTCATTTCTTTGATTAGTTCGTAAAACTGTTTAGATTTTTTTCGGAACTATCACGTTTACGTTAAATATAAGGAATAATTAATGATATTAGACAGATCATAATTTTACTTGTCAAATCTCCAATTTATCGCAACGATAATTTATCCTAACAAGATCGTTATTCATTATACACTTGCGAAACTTGTTCCAGAAACAGTTTAAAGAGTAGCAATAGATCCTCGAATGTCTTACTCGATTGTGATCGAAATGATCTACAATGGCGAGTATTATGACATGGCGTACCTACCTGATACTTTTTTGGTATAATTGTCCGTATAATTGTCCGTATTTTGGTATAATTGTATGTAATATTCTCTTAAGAATAAAGAGACAAAGATATTCAATAATTACATAAACTCAATGTTGTCAATTTCATAAATTCGAGATTCATAATTTTACGAAAATCACTTATAACTCTTAAGAAACAACTCTATTCTTTTCTTTTTTTAGGTTTTCATTAATTTAGACTTAATTTTGACACAATGCAAATTGATTTATTAGTCGCAAATTATATATTCACTGATATCAAGCGGTTATACTAAGCGGTTTTTCTGAAGAGCGAGAATACTGAGATAGCGAAAAGTGTGAGACTTCGGAGTGTCCTCGCGCGGTGCTCGTTATAGCGAGCAGGATTTTGGGCCCGTTGCGACGTGGATCAATAAATTTTGTATTTTAGCGGTGACCTTATGGCGCCGCGAGCAATTAGTCGCCGATGAGGTTTAACGTTAAAATTTTTACAATTGTCATGCGAACGATCTTTTTCGATCAGCTGATTGGCGATCAGCTGATCGTGACGTATGGGCGCATATGCCCGTACGCTGCGCTGACTTTGCTGACGGTTGATACTGTTGTCATAAACATTTATGACAAGTGTTTCTTAGGCCGCGAAAAAAACGAAGGATTATTCGAACGGTCGAGTTTTTCTTGTAAATAGAAAATTCGAAAAGTTTCTCGATGATTGTTAATTTTGAATTTTCGAACTTTTCGTTGCGATAAATGCGGATTTTTTGACAATGCGAATTAGAATTTAGATTTAGAATGATTTTATGATTTTTCGAATAACAGTCATGTACATTTTTTTATTCATGTAATTTATGCGACGATTAAATTATATAAAGAATATTTTTTATATATCCTAAAAACAAATAATTAGGATAAGATAGCTCTTTCTCTCTTAATGTCTGCTATTAAAAAATCACTGAACATGTCATACGCGAAAGTTTTGCAAAAATGGTAATTTTTTTGCGCAAAATGATATAAATCTTCTTTCAATTTAAGCTGCTTTAATATATCGTTTGTGTTTAGCATAATGTTTATATAACACGATTTTTTCGTTTCTTACATTCTAATGCGAAAATTATTGTTTAATATCATTAAAAGAGAAGAGAAGTCATATTCAGTACAAAAAATCCGTCATCTTCATTATATCCTCCTATTAGTCGCTAAATGACATCTCATTATTATTGTATTCTAGAGCCATTCATACATTTCACAATATTTTATATACATTCTGTATTCGGTAATGATTAAACAATTTATTATGAAAGATGAGTGATTTTCATAAAATTATGAATCTTGAATTTGTGAAATTGACATTGAGTTTATGTAATTATTGAATATCTTTGTCTCTTTATTTTTCCAGTATAAAGAAAATAATTTATAATTATTTTTTTGTCTCTAATAAAAGTATATTTATGAATATATTTATCTTTTTATAAAGATTGATTAATTACATACGAGAAATAGATGACATGAATTAGATGATTCAAATATGTATGTTTAAAGATGATCACATCTCGCAAATTAAAAGATCTTTTTTACGAAAAACATCTGTATTTTTACACTTATGCAACCTCTGAATACATCATTTATCCATCATAGTTATCATGATTCTTGCGAATTGTATTTAAAGTCACGTATGTGTCTAAATGTGTATCTGCGTAATCAGCAGAAAGATGATATAGAGAATACGAAAAGTATTACGTATTGTAAACTTAAACGAAAGTATCTCGCAAAATTCATGTAATATCTCTCGCTAACTAGTCGTATGCAATTTTTCTATGAACGTTCGTTACCTGTGAAATCTGCGACATCTGGCAAGCATATAGCATCGTGATATCATCTGTATCGTATATCACTAGTTAAAACGTCCGTCTCTTTAGAGTACGTGATGTACGTCTAAGTCGAATAAAATCTGTGGAAAGAAATTTGTCTCATGTCATTATAAAATATCTTATTATAGACATGTATTATTAATACAAGATTCTCTCTTGAAAATTCTAGGTTGAGTCAAATTTAAATTAAGAAAGATTATATTAAATATTTGAAAAATATAAATTAATTTGAAGTAAATATTTTTCTTAGCAAAAATAATCATTAAGAAGAATCGTTATCTATCATAATACTTTCTAATTTATATTACATATTTTTTTAGAAAAGAAAAATATACAATAAAATCCGCTTGAAATGGATTAAAAAAGTCTGATTTTGTATGTGTACGTATGTCATATGTGTATTTTCTTTCTTGTCATGTGTATACTTATTTCATTAGAAATGATTGTCAATCATTAATTACGCGAAAATTGTAAGCGTTTCGATTTTTATTTTTAAAAAAGATAAAGCTCAAATTTAATAAAAAAAATAATTATAGAAAATGTAACAAAGATAAAAAATTATATTCTTTAATGTAAATATCCATTAATCCTTATACATATGTATATGAATGCGCCACGTTCTCCAGCCTTGGAATTCGAACAGGACGTGAACGATCAATGACAATCAATTTTCCTTGATTCCACGTCGACAATATATCGTGTCAATTTGCTCCAAGGTTTAGGGAGAAAACACATTTACATATAAGGAGCCTGGTGCTCGCAATATTCAGAGATAGACCGGACAATTGGATTTGAAAATCGCGCTGACAGAACGCCTACGATTAATTAAGAGAAGGCTACCTTGAACTCGAACCACTTTTATGATTAACGACCTAAAAGCGTTCTAATTGGCCTTCACCGCTAGTCGGTACAAAACGTTAATAACATTTGGAATGCGCCTGCTGTTCATCATATATGAATTTGCAATATGCGTCTGCAATGTACATTCCAATTAATATAAATAATCGAGATTAAAATAATAAAAAACCATGATGAAAAATGAAAAAAAACGTCAATTTTGTACATTCTTTTATAAGAGGAATTTGAGATAAATATTGAGAAAATAGTTTACAATTTATTTAATTAAGTTGAAAAAATTATATGTAGTCTTTCAACTAATATCAAAATGAATTCCAAATATCTTTTAATTACTATCAAATAAATCCCAAATATATCAAAATAAATCTCAAATATTAATTTTTGCAATATAAAATGTACATTTGTGTGTGGATTTACAGTAGTTTCCATAATATTTGTACAATGATCAATTATATTCTAATAGTTAACAAAAGAATGATTAATAATTATATACATCATATGTACTTAAAATAATTTTAATTATTTAAAATAATTTTACTGTCGCGTTTTGTCACATTTATAAGTAATACGCAGTGACAGATTTTGATCATTATGATATCCTTCACATGATATAGAAAGTCTAGACACAATGTAATTATTTTGAAATATTATATTCTGTATATCTCAGACGGATATTGATACCAAGTCAGGACACATCTGTATAGCTTAGAATATTTACATCATATCGTGTTCCTAAGTCATTAGCTAATCAGCACTTTTGACTAATTGTCTATGCCTAATGTCGAAGTCTAAAAGAAATATTCTCAGAGATTAAAAATGATGGATAAAAACTTGTTGATCGATCTACATCTTCCCTATAATTGCTCATTTTCACATAATCTACACACTGAATATCTTTTCTAATCAATACAAAAGTGACTTAAAAACTAAAACAACATTGAGCAATTGAAACATCGCGAAGATCTATTTTTTAATAATATATGCACATATATATATTTATATATATATTTATATAAAATTATTTCAAATATTAAAAAGTTTTTAATTTTTCATATAAACAAGTAGTGAATCATTCTTTAGCTAAAATTGGAAAAAATTGCAATCTTGTAAGAGATTTTAATAATGACTGCCAACTATAATGTAGAGTGGGACGACCTGCAAAAACTAGATTTTGTTTGCTGAATATAATACACGAGTTAGAAAAGAAAATTTTATTACTGAAATCTTAATGACTTAACTATATGAATATTTTCCATTTATATAATAACATTTATCCTAATATAATGTATAAAATATATCACTACATATAAATTTATTTATTTCGTCACTTTTACTGCATCAGCTTCCTTGTTCCTGATGTCGATTACAACCTGTGAATTTTATACTTATAACATTGTAACAAAAAACTCGAATCCTATCTACTACTTACTTTTCCTGGAGATTTATTTTCGGAAATAAACTGCAACGCGTCATTGATTTTATGCAAGCCAACAATTAACGAGCAAGATGGTGTAATAAGCCCTTCTTCAAGGAATTGTAAAATTTCATCTCCTGCTTGACTAATTTTAAGGTAAACAAAATAATTAAATTTTTATTCATATAAAAGGAATAGAAACTATAAACATATAACATACCGATATACGTCAGGCTTTCTCTTTTTATATTCGGTGAGATTAAAACCAGTAATACTGAAGGAACCTTTCTGCGCCTCCGAATGAGAATTCGTCATAGTTGTCGCTGTGCCAGCTATGATTATGCGCCCTTCATGACAGAGGCTACAAGTGAGTGAACCATCCAATGTTGATTATGACTATTTCAAGAAAATAGAGATTTATACCTTCGCGAGACAAATGATGCACCACCACAGCGAAATTGTCATCGCGCAGCAAATCCTTTAGTGTTGCATCTTTGTAGACATTGGTAAAGCTAAAAATATTACATGTCTCACTAGTGTATCTTACCTGATGTGGAAATCCAGACATGCAACTTTTTTCTACATCCAAAAATCTATTTCTACTGATAAGTCTCTTTGAAGCTTACCATTCCAACACTTTCTTGAAATATTCTCCATCCACATCGTCAAAAATAGCTTTGATGTCTCGTTCGGCAGCAATTTCCTCTATTTGCTTTAATAATTTCTTATCTTTGTATTTAAGGGATGCAAATGCTCCTTTCTTTCGAGCCAGATCTGCTCCATCTTCAGTCGCACATACTCCAATGACCTATGTAAAAATAATATAATATCAAAGTGTAATTATGAAATACATTGTAACTATGACAAAGATAAAATAAATTATAATTATACCTTTGCTCTAAAGACATTTGTTGCAAGATCTATTGCTGCAAGACTAATACCGCTTATTCCAACATTTATTAAGATCATATCATCTTCATCTATACTGACTTTTCTCTCTAGCGCAACCAGAGCAGTAATATAGTTGTCTAAAGTGCTCGCAGCATCTACAGAATTTATCACAGAAGGTACTTTCCATATATCCTAAATAAGATAAGTATTGTTATTAATATTGTGTTAAGTACTCAGAAAAAAATTCATATTTTAAACATGTCTTACTCCAATTTCTGCCAGGCATTTCTCGGCCAAACCTCCATATCTTTCCTTGTTAAGAGCAATGACTTTATCACCAATTTTGTAGCCATTCTTCTCTGCTTCTGTACCAACTTCAACCAGTTTTCCAACAACTTCATAACCCAGAATTATTGGTAATTTAGGCTCAAATGTATACAAATTTTTACTGAGCAGCGTATCGGAAGTGTTTAATGCACAATAATGAACATCAATGAGAACCTGTGAAAATAAATTGAGATTATCATTGATATATTCTTTTGATATTATATATATATATATATATATATATATATATATATATTTATAAATATAAATATAAATATAAATAACGATAAATTGCACTTAATTCTTTTTTCTTCTACTTACTTCATTAGCTTGTACGTTTTTTGGTGACTCCAGATTCTCTATAACAAGAGAACCGGAAAAATCTTTTAATAATGCAGCTTGAATTTTTCCCGGCTGCGAAACCGGAGCGACATTTTTCGCATTTTCTTCGACAGCTACATTGCTGAATTTTGTAGCGATGATTCGCGATGACAAGCTATTTCTACATAATTTTATAAAAAATCGATGTCCTATCGATGTCATATTAAAGAAATGTAATTAATTGGACGTCGTAATCATTGCAAAAATTTCAATACGTGTTTTAGCGCTTTTAAATAATAATACCTTTATAAAAATTTCAAAGCGCACTAACAAATTATAAGAATCAAACCGTCTGATATCTAGAACTTAGAACTAGAAGATAAACCTAGATAAACAAACTCATTCATGCGAGAGTACATTCGAAAATATTACTTTGGGGTAAAGTAGAATTTAATTGACCAATCAGGACAAAAGATCTCTTTTCGATTGATCTAAAGTCACTAGATTAACAAAGTACCGCAATTTTGATCTCAATAAGATAAGATGAAGCAAAAATGGCGTCCGATAGTGCAGATAGTGCACACTTTGTGTAGCTATCTATACTAAGGCCGGTATTCATAGTCTGATCTTATATTTAAGATCGTCTTAAGTCTGGTCCGAGGTTGGCTTAAGACCTTATTCAACCAATCAAATAACTGCGTAGCATCTCAAGCTCGAACTTCTAATTTTTATTTAGAAAAACTAAGATTAAAAAAGACATATGCATTTTTTTCAGATATTTCTATTGAAAAAAACGCATCAGATAAAACTTTCCTGTACATTTTAAATGTGCCAAAAGATTTGCTCTTTATTCTACTTACTGCAATAATGTACACTAAAAATGACAGATCTATATTAAAAATGATAGATCTATATTTAGTAGTTGGAAAGAAAGAGAGGAGAAATGAAAAGTGCATCTAGAGAATTTAAAAGAATAAAAATCTAAAAATAATAATACATAAAAATTAATATTATGTATTTTTTTCATGAGGAATGTGGGGCGCACATTTATGCATTTATTTATTTAGATGAGTTTTAGTTTAGAGCACATTCAGTATTCAACTTTAATTTTATTTTCTCTTTCTTATGATATATAACATAATTACCTGCAAATACTATCATTTTTGTGTTCTTACAGTGATACAGAAGCAACATTACAAGTACTATATTTACAGATAACATCTGTATAATAAAAAAAGCATCAAAAATTTAATGATGAAAAAAGGATAAATATTTTAGACCAGCATAAGTATCAACCAATTATTCCACCGCTCTGTTTCATTAGAGTTGCAATTTTCTTTTATATCATAAATATTATAAATAAGATAAAGATTTCTGTACGTTTCAAATAAATTTATATATTTTATGTATGTAATACTGCGCACACATATTAAAAGGTGATAATATCGCAGTTATAATAAGATACAATCCTGGCAATGTAGTGATTTTTGGATCCTACTTAAAATAATTTAATTTGATTTATTTTTGAGAAATGCGCACAATACTTGAGAAGAAATTATTTTTATGCCATGTATTACCTGTGTAAAATTCCACACACAGTATCATATTGTCTGCGATATATGAAAAGCTTCATCGATGATATGATTGAGATATAAGAAAAGTAATATAGTACTTGTAATGAATAACGTTAATGTGGAATACGTAAATATTTTATATTTTAATTTCATATAATCAAGATGAGATAAGACACTCATGATTACTTTAAAAATGTGTCCACAAATATCATGTAACTTCAATAGCTGCACATTCGTCAAATTAATCCTATTACGTTAAATGAATCACAGCAGCTTGTTTTAATTTAATCTAACCTAACCAATTATATTATATACTTCTCATTAAAATGTGTAAAACTGTACGTCGCACATTTAATACAATTAATATACTACGTAATAAAATGTAATACACTAATGAAATAATTAAATATTATTTTTGAAAGCATAATAAAATCCAGGCAGCATACACTTGTGTTTACATTCGACATCCACTGAGAGGTTAGGTTAGGTTAGGTTAGGTTAGGTTAGGTTAGATTAGATCGAAAATTTATCGTTTGACAGTTGGCAGTCCTACGAGATAGGCTGTGCAGCACTGTGCGTATACAAAATAAATTTGAAATCGCTTCTAGCCTAATCATCTTCACGCGATCGACTTTATTTGAATTGCACGGCATCGCATCGAATTATGATGCGGCGCCGATTTGTTCGAACGTAATTCGAGACATCGCGATGCTGTATAAGCGTCGAATGAGCACGAATTGTCACGCAAATATGATAAATCAAATCTACTCACCGTTCACCGGCTGTTCTACAGGCCGCTCCACTCGCTCGCCTCGGGACGTCCCATTCCGATCTTGATGCACACGATATCATCAACGCGAATGCGCGACACTTTATTCGGCACTTTCGATATTCGCTCGCATCCGATAATCATCATCAAGGGCGCAAATAACGCGACGCGACTTCGCTCCATCTTCGCGATCGAGCTATCACTGAACTGTTAAAAACAGATGTCGCGCACTTTCACTGACATATTATGAAAGTCGCGCGATCATCCTTGAACACTTTCGACACTCTTTCACTCGCGATATTCGTTTAAAAACGGTTAAAAGACGCGAAAAATGCGGATGTTCGACGATCCGTGTAACTGCGTATGACTCCGATTCACGTATGACGCGTATGACGTAGCAATGACGTGCTAACATGGCGGCCGAACCAGTGCGCATTCGTTTCTGCGCATGGCCATTCCTGCGCGCAACGTTCGCACAACTTTGATTTCTGAATATTGTCCACGGCTTTAATTAATTTTGATTCAATATATAACGTAGAAAATTCATAGTATATTGCATTTATTTTTATATATTCACAACTATAATATTCGCGCGATCATTTTTTGACATTTACAATATTCGTGTACCTTGTTCTCGATGTTCACTTTTAAAAGAATAAAGAGAATTATATATAAATGTAAATAAATTGTCCGAAGAGAGAAAGAATTGAGGGATATTTTTAGTTTTTTAGTAAAGGTTGGAAATGTCTATTCATGATAGAAATGCAAAGAAAGAAAATTATTATGTTTAAAATAATAATTTTATATGAAATACAAAATTAAAAGTTACATTATAGAACTGACCTTGTAAAAGCGTAATAAAACAATCAAATAGTAGACAGAGAAAAGACTAATTGTAAAAGAAAAAAAGTTGTTAACTTAACTAAACCATTTAACTAAATTATTATCTTTTTAATTGGAATATTTAACTATTATAAATCTAACATGACATTTATTTAACTTAAATATTTCAATATTTCAATTAAAAAAATAATAATTTAGTTAAACGGTTTAGTCGAATTAACAACTTTTTTTTCTCAGTGTACGTGAGTTTGTGTGTGTGTGTGTGTGTGTGTGTGTGTGTGTGTGTGTGTGTGTGTGTATGTGACTTTAAAGATATACTTGTATATATAAATACACTTGTATATAACTTTAAAAATATATATTTCCGTTATGTTAATTATCCGATTTTTATTCGATCATTTTATTGCGCGTTCTGAATCAAATTATATTTAGATCAAATGATATCAGAGAGAATATTTATTTATTATATTAGAATTCTAAATGTGTGTATGTGTGTACACATATATATTAGGATAGAAACGAAATAGAAATAGAAGAATAATCATTGCTCGTAAAGATTGCAACAAAGTAATAATTTGTAATTTTGATTCCTATCGTATAATCGAGTATCGTATTTCGAGAGCAATCAACTATTTATTAATAATAAAATTGTATATAACTTACGAATATATTCCACTTATTCCGGACGTTAATATCGCGACAACGACGAATAAACTTTTCAAAAAAGTTCAATTCAACTATTTCATATATGAGACAGTTTCACCAATTACTGATACAAAAAACTCGTCAATTGACCAGTTGGTGAAACTGTTTCAGTCCTGAGTATTTTCTTAAAAGAGCTGTTGGCGCATATACATGCGTTTTTATGTTTACGCGCGTCACGCGTTCGAACGAACCTTGACATTCTCGCGGGTAAAGTCACTAGATTAACAAAGTACCATAGTGCAGATAGTGCACACTTTGTGTAGCTATCTATACTAAGTGCAATTTTTCTAATCTTGATCCTGGTTTGTCCTGTGTCCTGTTGTGTGTGAGGTGAGAAAACTCCTTCTGTTGCGCAGAAAAAGAAGAAAATATCAAAAATGCCAGGTTGTTGCGTGGAGAAATGCAACAATTGCAGCCTATATCTATACTATCGGACGCCATTTTTGCTCCAGCTTATCTTATTGAGATCAAAATTGCGGTACTTTGTTAATCTAGTGACTTTAGATTGATCAAATCAATATTTCCACGAATAGGATTTTCGAACACATTTCAGGAGAAAGAATAATATGTTTGAAACATTAAATATTATATATTAAATATATATAACATTAACCTGATGAATAAATAAACATATTTATTAATCATGTAGATTAAATACATTTTAATTTAAATATAATTTTTATATTTTAATATAATTATTATGTAACAAACTTTTTGTATTTTTCTTATTAAAATAATATTAAAATACGTATTTTTATATAACATTTTATATAAAAATACATTTCTATATTTTTATATTTTTATATAAAATTTTTATATAAAAATTTTATACAAAAATTTTATATAAAAAATTAAGTCTGCAGATACAACACAAATTAAATTTTGTCACTATTTATAGATTAGATTTCATTTACCTTATAGAAACTTTTTCACACATTAACTTACCTTCATTATTTATGTATAATATTTCTTATTTCTTATTTCTTTTAATAAAATTTACTCACACATTTTTACTTGAAAAAAATATATACATGACTGATTGCGAATTATGTGTATTATTTTAAAAAATTTATAAAAGTATAGTAAAAATAATAAATACCTTAGTAGAAATTAAAGAAGAATTATTGTATTCTTCCATAATTAGTGCCCAAGCCTCTGATTTTTCTTTTAATGAGGAGGAGCTTGCACCTTTTGCTTCGATAACATGTTTATATTTTTTTAAAATCTCCAAAAATACTTGTTTGTCAAGATCGGAATATACTATTCTTTTATTGGACATTGTGTTTCTAAAATAGGTTTTACAAATAAAAACAAATACAAATGATTCTCAATGAAATGAATAAGGTTAAGTTTTTCCCGTTTAAATTAATTTACAATAAATATCATATAATAGTATCATATATAATATCATATAATAGTAATTTACTTTATCTTCAACATTATAATTTTTTTGTATTTTTATTAAATTTTTAATTTAGTACATTACCTTTTATTAGAATTAAGATACTAAAATATATGTATATATACTATTTATTTGTCACATGTTCTCTTCCTGTTTTGCTCGTACATTGTAAATGTCATTGGCCAGATTAATCTTATTTCTAGGGAATCCCGAACATTTCCGAAGTAAAATTCTTAAGCATGAGCACAAATCCTTAAGCACGGGCTTTATAAAGACTACCTTGAACTCAACTTCAATTTTGTAAGATTTATCTGTGCATATGGTACATTCTTAAGGTAGTTTTAGAACTTGAGCCAATCTTAATTAAGACTACGTCAAGACAGACTTCAAGCAACATCTATGAATTCCGGCCATCGTCTGCTAGTGTTTACGTAATTACGCATGTGCGAGATTTGTCCCTCTATGGCTGCTATCGTTTTGACGTTTTTAGCGCTGAAAACATCGCTCTATCTTCGTCTAATTCGTTTGTTCAATGTGCAATAAAGACAGAATGATCACACACGTGAGCGTACAAAGCCAATATTTAGCCAATATTTAGTAAATTAGACTTAACAGAGAAAATCCTGTGATTATGATGTAAATAATTCGCACGTACTTGTGCACAAATTTTCTCAGAAAAAAAACAATGTAAATCAACAATAAGAAGTGTAAGAATAAGAAAACAATCGTTTTTATGTAAACAAAATTCATTAAATGAATTTTGAGAATAAAATCTAAAGCTTTGTATAATTTTATATCGATAAGTTGGAGGAATTTATTGAAAAAATAAAAACTGCAAATATATAAACCAATTCATAATGCGACCGCATAAGTTTAAACTTCCTTGTGATGTGGACAGGTAAAGAATTAGTCGTAAAGAATAATGTTGAATATTAATAGTAACACAATTTTGTTTAAGATTATTATCTAAATTTTATATTTTTATTTTATAAAAATTTATGTGATATTTTGTTAATCCTTTTTGTATAACATTGATTTTATAGTTTTGCATACACTGATCAAAAAGTTGTTATTGTCTCGGTGTTTGGCAAGTCTCAATATCAAGCTAAAGGATGCAAGATGGAAATGCTCAGTTCCATACTCCAGTTAAATCATATGGATGAACCAGAAATTGACAAAGATTCTTGGGTTAGATATCTTTTTTTGAATAACTGGAATCTTGGTGATTAGCAAACAGTATCTTGATTCTATTTTCTTTTTGTTTATTAGTGTGAAATTGAAGGATATTATAATTCTCGTGAGAAGACAGTTTTCTTGCATTTGAGAGGATTCTTGGATACTCATACACTTTTAACTGAATATGACAAGTTTACAGAGGAACAGGACTGCAAGGATTTTCTCAGTGTATGGGCACATATGAGAGATAAATATGCAAGAGCGCTTCTAGTACTGTTTCATATATCTCATGTGATTATACTTACTCATCCAACACATACTTTTGATTACAGTTATGTAAATCTTTTTCGTGCCATGGATATAGTCAGGTTAGCATCAGTTTTATTTTTTGTGAGCACAGGTTATATATTTGATTTATATATTATTAAAAATATTGATATGAAGGCATATAAATTAAATTTAGTTGATTTGGATTTTTTTGTAATAAAATAATGTAACATTTTTATGATAGGCAAAAAATTTCTCCACAACTTTCTGATGTGTTGAACTCAATTCATAATCTACCTAAAGATTGGATTGCAAATGTCAGACCCTGCTCACCACGAGTATTATTTTATTTTGAAACCTGTCCTACAGCATTCCAAAATCCAGATAATGATACCAATATTAAAAAGTTAGAACATTCTCTTGAAGATCAAATTTACCATATGTTAAGGAAAAATAGAATTGTTACCAATATCAGGTACGTAAAATTTAGCATATCAAATCTTTATTTAAACTTAAGAAAACATCAAAATTTTTCTTTATTTTTAGCTCAAACTCCTTGTTTGCAATACCAGCTAATCAGGAATTTGTGTATGTGCATACCGGAAATATAGATTCAAGAGATATGTTGGGTTACATGGCAAGAAAATTAATGCAAAGCTGCAAAATCAGTTCCGGTAGTTCAACATCCAGAAGTCTTGCCAGTTTAGATTCAAATAGTATCATAACTGATGATACTGGGACTGGTAAGATGAATAAAAGTCAAATAAAAATTGTGCTACATATATAAAGATAATTTTTCATATATTTACAGAATCTCATTCGTTTAAACTGTTTTTGCAACAACACATAAACTTGGCTTTTGCAAAAGGATTTGACGACAACGTCGGTCGACACTCTATACCAGCTTATTTTGAAGTGCGTTATTAGCAATTAATTTAATCATTAATTTAGTTTTAAATCAATATAATAATATAAATTTAATAATATTATTATTGAGATCAATATTTATTGAATAATATTAATATTAGATCAAACTTTTATTGGATTATTTTTAAAAATGAATGATATTTACAGATACCAAATTTAAATATATTTTGCCAAGTAGCAAACAAGGTATTTGATTATTTTATTCATGGAACTGACAAAGAATTGTCAACACTTCATAATTTATTAGATACAGATGTGAAATTCAGTAAAAGTCGATGCAGCAAAGTACTTCCAAGAGCTTTACAATCATATCAGGAGAACTTGCCACAGCATTATACAAGGTTGAAAATTATTTGAAATAATTGCTATTAAAATAAAATTATACTTTAACTTGTTATACTTTAATTATATTATACTTTAATTATATTTTAAAATGATGCTTTTTAGAGCATATCACGAATCGAAACTTGCGCATGCAATGGCAGTTTTCGAGATGCACGCTCGCGGTCCTTTATTCGAAGAGTTCAGTGAGAAATTACAGGCCGAATGTGACAAACATTGGCGTGCTGGTAGACAAATGTGCGAAGTATTGTCACTCACTGGTCATCCTTGTACAAATCCCATTCACAGAGGTGGTAGTGAAGGTGCTGGAGGCGGAGAACAAACTGAACCTCGAGAAGACGATAGGTAGATATCTCTATTAGAAAGAAAGATTGTGTATTATATACATTTCTATAAATTGTTTATATTTATTAATTATCAAATTTTTCCTTTCAATTGCTTTCAGCGAATTACCTACTAGAGAACATTGCAGTGGAGTTAGATATGTGTGTGCTTGCAATTGTGGTCGAATTCAAGGCTCCAGAGAAGATCCTTTCAGTCTAAGACAGGCCAACCACGACTATTTTCAAATGTTAGCGAAACAATGCGGATGCGCGCAATTGGAGAGTATACAATTCCCCGTGTTTCAACCTAGCACACACAACTATAGGTAGAATTAAATTTTAGAGATGCCTTTCAATAAAAAGAGAAAATAGACAATGTACATTTTTTTTCTTTTCAGGGCAGCGCAATTATTTTCAGCGACCAAACGCCACGATTCCTTTAGTCGCAATGGATCTTCTACACCACAAGAAGATACACAAGCTTGTAGTTTAGGAGATAGTTTGAATGGCAAGTAATATTGGATGCGATAAACATTTTCTCTTAGCGAGATTTTAATTGATTAATTTCTCTAGGAAACAATACAGATGGAATTACAGATTATGGTAGCGGCGGTCAATCCTCGATGACGAGTGATCCGATTGGAGAAGATATTCCCAGATTGAGCGGCAAAACAAGTCTCACACCGAGTGACTCGCATAAAGTCATTATAGAAGTAATTGACAGCGATGCGGAAAACTCTAAAGGTATTCTATCGCATTATTTTTTACGTTCATTAAATTTGCGCGATTAAATGCGAGATGTACAATAAATACGTGTTCTTTACAGACAAATCTTTAGTCAGGCAACCATCAACAACAGAATACCTGCCTGGAATGTTACACACCGAATCACCATCGGGTTTGCTACCGCAATTTTCTAGCTGGTCCCTGATATGTCTAGGACCGAGTAGCCTTTATTCTCACAATTTGGGATTGCAGCATCAAACCGGGATATTTCCTACCTCTGCGTTTCTACTTCCATGGGATGTGACTGTCAGGTGAAGAAAAAAATGTCCCATATCTATCACATTGATGAAGTTGTCGTTTTCAACTCTTTAAGAAACAAATTTAAAGGAGAAAATATATTGTATATCATAGATTGGAGCATCAAAAAGAGCGTAGTAGCTCCTTGTGGCCTATGGTGGGATTTACAGGATCTGATCATGGGATTCACGGAGGCTATTGTTCGCGGGGAGGCAAGAATTTCCAAAACATTAATACCGTTCGTGGTCGTAAATCTAAGGGTGGTAAAGAATTTGTGGTAAAGATATTCGTCGGCGTGGAATACGAATGTCCACGCGGGCACAGATTCATGGCATCCGCGCCCGACAAGGTACTAAAGACCACTGGAAATGGAATAGTGAAAGATAGCGGAAATAAAGTGACGTCCAGCACGGCTGACATGCCACTCTACTTTGCGTGCCCTTGCAGGTTCGTAGAATTTTATTATTTCGATCCCATTTTTTAATATAAAATTCATAAATTTATTCATCGGATAAATATATTTTTCATTTTTAGGCAAACGAAACCATTGATCGCTCAATTAATGAGAATCCATGTGGTGACACCTAAAGCCCCAGTACATGTCACATTGAACCCCAGGGTTCAACCTGGTACCCCACCTTGCCCGATATTCGTCACCGGGTGCGAAGAACCGATCAAACTATCTCAAAGTGCATACTGGATTTTAAGATTGCCGTATCCTTTTTTTAAAAATTTGTTTTACGTTACGTTAACATTCTTAAATTATCGAGAATCTTTTTTTTTAATTATATATGAGCAATCTATTTTCTCACTTAACTTTTCTTTTTCCATTCAAATATTCATCGCGTCATTTTTTTCTTAATAAATATCAAAGTTACGTGTACATGGGTGAGAAAGGACCATATTTGCCACCTAAGGAGCCAGTAGCTGCGTCTCATGGGCGTTTGTTAGCCGGGATGTACGGTATAAGCGAAGTTATGCCTGAAAAAAAATAAAGACTGTAATATAGAATTTTTTTGTAAAAAATATTTGCCTCTACATTTGACAAATGTTTAGTTATCTTTTTATTTGTGTATAATTCGAATTATTTTATTTTTATGAATTTTCAAGAATTTGTATTCATAGAAAATAAAACGCCCGCGCATTTGAACCTTATCTTGATTTGACGTTTACGATCCTGTGCGATGATTCGTAGTTTTTAAAATTCCAACTGATCACGTGCAAGTCACTCGCGTTTGCGATTGGCTTGCAACTTGAATTTACAAAAACATTTCTATCTTCGAACGCAACGTTAATTCGCCTTCTAATTATAAATGAAACATAATTTTTAAACCAGGTAATAAAAAATAGATAAAAATAAATATATCGTAAAGAATATTTTTACGGGATGTCTCTTAAGTGGCGGATCATCGATCAACGAAAGGCCGTGCACTCAAACGACACAACCGTTGAAACGCATGGGTGAAAACGGGTGACAGGTGTGTGCTTGTCATCGCGTTTGAATCTGAGAAAAGGGTTAATTTTGTTGGGTCGTATCTCGCTGACGCGATGTAAAACGATCGAGTGAAAAAGCTGTAAAATATTTGTTTACTCGACATTGTTTTACGACAGATTTATAATAACTGCGATGCAAATCACAGCCTCGAATGATCCAGTGTTATCTATTTTTAGTTGTGGTTGCGTGTATTTTGTACCGTCACCTTTTTAGCGGACTCGAATACTAATAATATGCAATAAGGGAGAAGAGAAAAAATAACCTGTGTTTATGAATAGATTTAGCTTTTGATTATTTCTGAACAAATCATATAATAATTTTTGATACTTGTATGTATCTTTCATGAATCGTTTAATATGAAACAAAGCTATATTCAATGATTATTGCTTTTATTTTTGTTTTTAGGCAGCGGATTAATTAGACACAATGAAGTTGAAAGTGGATTGCAGACTCTTATTGTTGATACTCTTTGTGTCCTTTAATTGTAAACTTGGGAGTGCATCTATACTGGGTTGGATATGGGGAAAAACAGATGATAAAACTGTTTCAGTCGCTGATAGTATACCTTTGATCTCAATTCCTTACGAGTCGATGACAGAAGATGAAAAGTTCCTCCAACAAGCTGCCAAGTTAACAGATGTTAAGGTTTCTTCTCCATTGGAAATCTGTCAACATAAAGTTATTATGAAAATCAGAACCTCGTGTTCTGATATGTCAGAAGAAGAGCTCGCAAAGCTGAGTGTAAATCTTCTAAATTGCCAATCAGCAGTTGAAGGCAGAAAGATATTTCCCTGCACTGAGGAAATGGTATATAATCGATACAATATATTTTCTTTGCATAAATGAAAACTTTTTGTTATTTTTGTTATATCAGTCTTGTTAATCAAAATATCAACTAAGCATTCCATTAAAATCTATTTGAATAATAATAAAACTAACAATTGCATTTTTGAATTATTAACTTTATTAATTTTATTATATTTTGCAATTTTCAGTGTATAATTTAATGCTTTGTATACCAAATTTAAAATTTAAAAGAAATTAAAAGAAATGCTATTTTGAGAAAACATTTATGCAACAGAATTATTTTAACGATATAGATTTATCTATTAAAATGTATTTTATTTATTAATAATATATAAAAGAATCGATTTATATTATTCAAAACATACAAGATAGCTACAGAATATCCATATCCTTTGATACAAATTGAAGGGGTAAATTCCATGCCTGTTCAAACCTGCACATTTCCCCCTCTTACTTTTGAAGACCTCCCCAGAGTTTTCAGTCATACAGTGCATTATACTGGTGTCTAATGTTACTCTATTAGTAGATGTAATATAATACTAAAGAATATTTAAGAATATTTAGTGAAAATTTAAATTAAAAAAAAAATTAAGTAGAATAAATAATTAGAAATAATTGCTAAGATAATGTTATAAAAAAAGTGCACTGTTGAAGTATGTGCAAGAAAATCATATAATTTATAGTAAGTATAAAATATAATTTCTATGTTTTAGCCTCTTCAACAGTGTACAACAAATATGGATGCTGACATGTGGAATGCATATCATTTAATGAGTAATAGAGCAAGAGCAGTTTGTTATGCAGCTCGAAATACACAATTTCGTGCTCTTACAGAGTTAACTGTCAACAAACTGATGCAATCTGCGCATTCTCAAATCGAAGCATTGAAATCTTTGAGGGTATCTGTATTCATATATTCCTATTTTCCTGCATGAATCATACAATAAATGAAATAAAAGTTTCATTAAAAATAAATATATTTCCCCTTTTGCTATATATAAATTTATCTATATATTTATTTTTAATGAAAATTTTATTTTATTTATTGTATGATTTATACAGGAAAGTCAAGATCACCTGCAAGAACAGACAACAAAAGCTCTATCATCATTATCCGAAGGAAACGAAGCACTCTTGGAACAACAACAATACTTGAAGGACGCTCAAGTGACAGCTCACAATCTTGTAACATCAAATCTGAGAGACTTAAATAACGAAAAAGCATTAATACGATCTGGACATACTCAGCTCGCAATCATGGCAGAAGATATAAAAAATAAATTAGGTACTACATATTTTTCATATTGTATGTCATTTTTACTCTTTTTATTATTGTATAGACTTCAAAGTTTATTTAATATATCCTTTAGAAAAGGCGCAAAAAGAGCTTGAGCAACAAGCTACTGAGCGTGGTGCAAATCATCAAGAAGTGTTGCAAGACTTGATCAGTATACAAGAGCAAATGCAATCAATTTGGGAAAAAATTGAAAGTAGCACTGATCGTATATTAGATCAACATGAGAAAACCTTGGAGAATTACGAGCAGACAATGCAGAAACTTACACAAATTAATAATACTATTCAATATATTTGGAATCTCACGAATATTATGCGCACAGAAATAGACCAAAAGTTAGGATGGATTACCGATTATATTGACGACACTGGTAAATTATTATACAAGATATATTTATTATATACAAGAATACAGTCTGTTTTAATTGCATAAGAAAATTTTCTTAGATTAATTAAATTAAGTAAATTTTTTTTATTATATTTAATTTATTATTATTATATTTAATTTATTATATTTAAAAAATTTTACTTTGTGACAAATTTGATATAAAATCGAAATATGCATCGATAATTCAAGTTTTCATATTTTTAGGTGAACAAGTGCAAAGAATCTTTCGTATAGTTTCACATATCGCATATATATTAGTGGCGATGATAATTGCTGCATTTTTACAAGCACCATTTTTAACTAGAGTTAGTATTTTGGGTATAGTGCCAGTGAATCTCATTACTTACTTGAAACATGGAATGGAAGCTTCTCTAGATTTTACATCTATGACAGTTTTAATATTTGTAATCACTGGAAGTAAGTATTGTGCAAAATATGCATTAAAACAATCATGATATTAATATTATAATTATAATATATAATATATAATAATATATTAACATATAATATATTAATATTATAGTTATAATATAATAATTCAGTATAAATTATAATTCAATATAATATTTCAATATAAATTGACTTATATTTGATATATTTTTTAATGCAGTGTATTTTGTAATGCTGGGAATACAACGTATATTTGGACCAAACAATTCAGAAGCAAAGACAGAACCAGCTAAGTCAGTCTGTCAAAATAAACATTTGAATGGAAATGCACATAAATACACATTAACATCATATTTCAATTCCATAGCAAAAACGCAATTGCATGAAAAATTAATGAAAAAAATGCGGAATCTCTATAATTTCTTTATTTTACAAATAAGTTACTGTAAAGGTACTTTTTCGATTTGACATAAAAACTATCTGAAAAAAATCATCAAGTGACAATTCTTAATAATAATCATTTTTCAGAAAAAATTAATGACTTGATACATTTGATCGGTTCTTGGAACAATCGGCGCAACTTAAACACGCACGAGGAACTCTCCTGTTCATATCAACCATTGAAAAGAAATCGTGAGGATGTGTACAACTATAAACAGGAATTTTCAGACGATGACATGCAACATGATTATTCTTCCAACATGACACACTCGTCACATGAGAACTATTATAATGATATTAATGATATAACGGACGCGTCCGAATTGAAACATCGTAGTTATTATAATATGAACACAGTGCGATCTAAAAGGTATATGTAATATCGCTAGAATGATTGATAATTCGTGAAATGATCAAAAAATATGATTCTAGTGTCACCCCATTAGGTTTTTCGAAAATGGTTTGTATGGCAATAACAAGAAACGGCAAAAGATGTCGAGTGTTTGCTTCACCCGGCCAATGTTACTGCCATCATCATTCTACTGGCACATCTATTATCAATGGTCATCTTGATTGAATTCTGTAAATAGCTAAATCCTGTTATAACAAGAGTTAAAGTAATAATCTGAGTTTTTAGGGCATAATATATGTAGCTTTATTTATTTTATCTATGTATCTCTCTATTTTATTTAATAACAATTAATGCAACTGATGATAAAAGATTTGATAATTGTAATTTTAGAGTTGATAATTTACGAGAATTTTTGGATGATTATAATATATAATAATTTATAATTAATAAAAACTTGATTATTGATTTACTATCAAAAAAATAATTGGTTCATAAAAAAATTCAATAAAAATTTGATAATCGAGAGATTAAATCAAATTGAAATTAATGTATATAATTTATTTAATCTCTCATTTAAATCAAATATCTTATTTAAATAAAATTTTATTTAAATAAAATTTTTTCTATGAATTCATTATTTCTTTTATAAATAGATCAATAAAGATACTTTGTATAAAGATACTTTGTATAAAAATACCTTGTTACATATTGTATATTGTACTATAAACAAAGATTTATTAAAAATTTTACAATAATTACAAATATCAATTTTTACAATTGTTACTTCTTCAATCATCAGTTTTGTTGTCTACTATTGATACAGATTGAATAACTTGTGTACATTTTATGATTTTGTAAAACTTTATAATAATACAACAATGTCTAATACTAAATGTCTCATTAATCTTGATACTATTTCAGATATATATATCTTAATATAATGTTAGCATATACAAATATTTATATATAGATAATTTGTATAATTTATATTATTTGATCATACAATTTAAATGTTTTATTTTAAAATATTTAAAATATACTTACACAAGTTATAAAATTTTTAATTACACATATGTCATAGCAATGTTTCTTAACAATAAACAATTTTATATTTAGTAATAATATATATTTAGTAATATATATTTAAAAACATATTTTCCTGCTTTCATGTAAAATAGTAGGTAATAGCAATAGTTACAAGTTCTATTTAAATATTATAAGTGACAATATATTTGATATAGTAGAACATATAATTTATTATTTCATAAAGATGTATTTTGAAGTACAAATTTATGGTATAAATAATCTTATAAAACTTGTACAAAATTGTGTATAAAAATATAAACTGTTGTTTTTCTGTAATTGTAATATATATTTCAATGCAAAAATCCATTTAATTCTGAAATATTTCTTCATTCATAAATGTCATCTTGTGCGATGCAAATAGCTTGTCAGTTTTTAAAAAGCTCTCCTACTACTAACTACATAGATTACAATAATGGTATAATTAAATATCATGAATCATTCATTTGATGTAGGAGAGTCAATTTAAATAATAAATATCTCGACGTGATTTGAGTAAAAAAATTGTTCTTTAAAAATTACAAGTTTGAAGTACTAAGAGATAAATAATATTAATTATCTACACTCTCTTGTTTCATCAATGTAATATAAAATTTATTATTTATATATTATTATTAATATTTGTAAGTTAGAAAATATTAATATTTATTTAATATAATTAATATAATATTTTATATTAATATAATTTATAATTTATTATAATTTATAATTTAATATGTAAATTATATATAAATGTAATGTATATATATATATATATATATAAAGGTATATATAATCATATATATCATAAGGTATAATAATATATATATCATATATAGATTAGTAATATTAAACATATTATATTGATAACATCACTATATATTATCAATTTTGGATATATATATTACAAAGTTGTGACACGCAAAAAGGGAGATTGTAGCGCTGCGCGCGCGCTATTCCGTTCCTGAGCACGGCAATCTCTGCGCATCGTTCTATTCGTGACTAAAAATAAGGATTTAACCCAACCGGGCCGAGGGACGAATAGCGTGTGACATCTGCTTCTACAGCCTGAGAAATGGCGTGGTTATGCGCCCGTAACGTGCTCCAAACGTGTCGACGGCCGATTTCCTACAGCCTCACGTGTTCCCAAAAGAAATGTAATTATCTCACGTAACGTCCCCGAATATACGCGGTGTCTTCGATATGCGTTTCTTGATTTTACACACATTGGAGACGTACTCCATATTACGTAATGTATTTTTCGTCCGCCTGATCGATTTTCATCTTTCTCTCGACTATGTCCGAAATATTTTGACACGGATAAAATTCATACATTGTACGTTTTCTTTTCTCGACAGTCGCCGAGCCTCTTGATCATGCCACTGGTTTGGAGAAGAGGGAGATGCTCGCTCGTTTAGCCGGTAACGAAGTAAGTTCTGACGTTTCTGCAACTTTGGAAATATCTCTATCGCGATCCTGACGTGCTAGTGTTATAATTTAATATATCACAATCGACATGTATCTCTTTATCTTCTTACGAAAGAAGATTCTTTTATACGTGTATATTTATTTTTATATCATAGACTTGTATTTTATTTTATAAGTTTGCATTTTTTACTTTTTATATTCATACTTTTACTTAGAGATCACTATGATAAATAATATTAATAGTGTATATTTTGTAAAAGAAAAAAAATGATATATTTTATTAATTTGCTTCTCTCTAGGATCCCTATAATTTGACTATAAAACGACGACCAGACAGTACAAAGGAGAATCCTAATATAGTCTACAGTGCATTTGAGAGTCGTATAATGGGATGCATTTGTGATGAGGATGCATTGCACGTAAATTGGATGTGGCTGCATCAGGGCCCTCCACGTCGCTGTGAGTGTGGCCATTGGTTTAAGCTGGTCGAGAAAGCACCTCTATAATACAATTAAGGGTGAACTAGTGGATTGTTTTCAACATAGAATTAATATTATATTAGAAAGTAATTACATCTATTTTCATTTATTACCATATTCTCCCTATGTATCCTGTCCAAAAAAAAAAATTTCATTGTATGGGAACTGCAAAAATAAAGAAATATATTGTAAATATTATGTATATATATCATAGTTTTTCGTTCCATTGTTAAAGTTCATGACTCTTTATTATTTTCTCTTAAAATATAAATTATTATATACTTTTTAAAAAAATTGTAATTGTATATGTGGAATAGATTGTGATCTTCACTGACTTTCATGTGGAAAATTTTTTGTTTTCAAAATAAATTTTCCATACAACTGGGACATTTTATGAACACATAGTCTTAGAAAATATATATTTATTTATATGTTATGTACAAACAAAATTCTAACTTATAATAAACATATTCACATATCACTTCTTTTTTTCAGCTCGCCCCAGTTTAAACCTACTTACTACTTTCTTTTCATCTTTTTTTTCTAAACTATTTTTCATTGGCGATATTTTATTTTCTTGGACTTTTTCCTTGATTACCTACAAAATATATCTATTAGTAAATATAATTATTTATTTCTATTGTGTTAGTATTAAAATTACTAGTATCTAAATTACTTTTACGCACAGAATTGTAGATAGAATGTTTAACATGTTCGACTTCATTTTCTGTGTCAGTACTACTTTCTTCATTCAAAAGAGGAGCGATTTGATTAGGAATCATATCATTTGGAGATCTTTTCAAAATGGATTTGGGAGCATTAAACAGTTTATAAATATCTATTGGGCTTTGTATTTCTGTATTACTTGATGTAGATATATTTGGAATATGGGATGAATGTGAAAACTCAATCCTGATAATATCTTCTTCATTTTCAGAATCATCATGTGTTTTATCCTGTTTTGAAATAAAACAGGATTTTTCACTAGATATTAATATTTCTTCATTTTCTGTATTTTTCGTAATACATGGTTCAATAAATGATACTCTTCCTGTTTTCTTTGCATTTGTGGCCTTGGATATACCCTCTTTAGATTCAGATGAATGATTGTTTTTTAATTCCTCCTGACTAGAATTTACAGTAAGATCAAGATGTTCATTTGTTTTAACATTTGTATCAAGAATTTTATCTTGTATTGTATCAACATTGAGATCTGGTATATTATATGTGATTTTGTTTGTTTGGATATCTTTCAATTTTTGTAATTCTTCCTCAATTGTTTCTGTCGTAATTTCGTCAGAATCAGATGAATCCTCTTCTGATTCATCATAGACTTCTCCTTCTTTCAAATCATTATAACTATCTTCTCGTTCAGCTTCCAGTCTGCATAAAATTTTAAATATAATAGTTTTATTCTAAATACAATCATCAGTAAGTTTTAACTTTAAAAATTAGAGTAACCTGCATATTTCATCTTTTAATTCTTCTTCCAATTCTAATTCATCTAATCTTTTAAAAAGATCTTCTTCGGTGCAAATATCAGTCTTTTCTTTTTCCCTCAATTGTACTAATTTTTGACGATATTCCTTTTCACGCTGCCTATGTAGTACTACAATTAAATATACTTTGTTTCTAACAGCTGATATAATAGAAATATATTAAAAAAAATATATTTCTATTTATTATATCAGCTGTTAGAGTATAATACAAATATTTACTCTTCCATTCATCAAGTTTGTTCTCATTCCAATGTTCCAATATGTCTTTTCTACCTTCTTCTCCAAAAATATCATGTTTTAATGGGAGATATTGTTTCATTTCATACAAGTTTCTTTCAGCTTCCAAGTCTTTCAACATTTTATCTGCCCCTATGAAATAAGAAAATACAATGTATAATAAATATATTTAATATAAAATAATGAAACAAAAACATATATAAAATTTATACATGCTATCCTCCTTTTGCACAATGAAATTGCCTGTGATGCGCTATATTTTGCAAAATATCCATCTCCCAAATAAACCAAAATTTCGTTAGTATGAATTAATTTTCCTTTCATTAATGCTCGCTTGCCAATAGGCACCATACAATTTTCCGAGACAGATAGTGGATATACTTCAAGTCCTTCTATTACTTTCTTGTATTTATTTCTATAATCATTCCATGTATTCACTTGATTCTCATTTTGTTCAAGTTCCTATATATATAAATCAATTATTGAGTTTTAGATTGTAATTAATATAATTTAAACAAAAATTATCATTAAACAATATATGTATAATTTGAATGAAAAGTAAAATTATACCTGCGCAAACACGTTATTTAATAGTGTTCGTTGATAATTTTTCATTTGTTCAAGTTCCATCGTTGCATTATTAGCTACAATGTTGTACATTGTAGATATATATTAGAAATGCAAATATGAAAGATACAATATAAAAAATATATTTGTAGAAATATACACGTGTGTTAATCAATTTTTTTCTCTCTGATATACACAGATTATGCGATCGTCAAAAGCCTTTTACAGAAAAGAGAAACACTCAGAGAGGTATTTCTATCCTTTATGCGCATGCGCATTGAAATTTTAGGTCTGTTTTTTTAGCTGCACTGCTGCACTAGTGCAATAAGTTGAAAAGAGACAACATACTTTCTTTCACTCTAATTAATTGCACTAGTATAGCAATACAGCTAACAAAGAGAAGACTGAGAGATGTCATGGCCTGCTTTTAGGTGATCCCTGAAAGCGATACTCCCTCTATGGACATTGAAAATGTGGACATAAACTACAAAGCCAAAGTCCATGAATGTTCTCAGAGGGTATAATGTGCATAATTTCTGGTTTCGTTCCGTGCTATGTGCATGAAATGCCGGTAGCACCAGAGTATAACAAGACACTCATGTATATAAATTGATAGTAAATAAATTATTCAATGCGCGAAAAATACTGTAATCTTCCAATGTAATGTTCAAAGATGAAATAAATATTTTTCTATATTCATTGCCATATTTATACATAATTTTGATATCTCTCTTAGTCTGACTCTTTGCCTTCGACCTGTCCGGCATGAGAACCCTATCTAACTAAGGCTGGCATTCATAATTCACTCTTATATTTAAGATCCTCTTAAGTGAGTTGGAAAATACAACTATTTTACTAGCTGAACGGAATCTCAAGACGCGATCTCGATTATTTTAAATATAAAAAAAAAATATATATATATATAAATGTATATGTATATGTATATACATAAATACATAAATGTTTTGTGTCACGATAAATCTTGTAAAATCATTGATCTTTAATAGTATCTCGTCAGTGAATGCTTTCGAATGTTACACTTTATGTAGCAAATTTTTTATATTGTTCTATTACAATTTTCATAACAGCAAAATATTTAATGCTTAATGCTTTATATGTATATATAATACAAGGTACTAAATTATAAAGTGTAACATAATTAAAAAGTATTACTATTATTACTATTATTATTACTATTATTAGTCGACTAATTACAAGCTATTCCTATATAATTACTACATATGTTTATCCGATGCATCTTCTTCTTCAAATCTTTGCAATGTTGTGATCTGTCGCATTCCCAAGACTATAGGGACTCGTGCTTCTTTCTTCTTATCGTTTTATCATTCTTTTATTCTCTTCCATCTTATTCAAAATATATAATAATTATTAACTAAGTATTATAATATATTATAATATAATATAATTATTTATTATATTATATTAATATTATATTAATACTAATATTATATTAATAATTAATATGTATAATATATATTAATATATAATATATATTAATAATGTATAATATAAATTAATATATAATATATATTAATATATATATATATATATATATATTAATATATATAATTAATTAATAATTACTAATATAATAATTATAATTACGGTATCTCTCTTAGTCTGACTCTTTCTCTTTGACCTATCCGGCATGGGTGACCCTACCAGTAATTAAGGCCGGTGTTTACACAGTCTTATATTTAAAATCGTTTTAAGTAAAATTTAGAAAATGTTTGTTATTTCATTGAGACTGAACAGAATTTTAAGATGCGATCTAAAATTATATTTAAGATGATTAAATATAAAAACAAATTGTATGAATATCGGCCTACGTTACCGCCGGCATAGCTCTCCGGATCATTAGAGTACTCAAACCTCCTCACCCGGCAAATGCCTTCGTTAAGGTGGAGATACCATCGAAGAGGTACAATTTTTTTATTTTATTTTCTTTTAATATAATGTAGGTTTTTCAAATTTTCCAAATAGAAAATATAATACAAAGAATGTATAAAATATACATATATATTATATATATATATATATATATATATATATTATATAATTATAAAATATTATAATGCATAATTACATAGCTTGCAGTCATATAAAAATATATTACAAAATGTATATTATAATTATAGTACAATTTATAAATTGGTATCAACATCAAATAAATATGTATTCGAATTTATTCAAATATTTTCAATAATACGGATAATGATGTTGAGAGCACACACACACACTCTTAGACTTACAATAATACTATATATATAGAAAGAAAAAAAAGGAAAATTCGGAAAGTAAAATAATTTTTCGAAAAATGAAGATATATTTTCCATTTTTCGACATTTATTCAAGATTTATTCTCTATTGTTACAAATATCTTTTATACATAATTTTGTTATCATTTTCATAATAGTATAACTTAATATATAATATTTTATTTTAACTTAAAATACAATAGAGTTATAAAATATAAATTAAAAAATTAATTTAATATATAATAATACAATCAAATTGAAAGTATATAATGTATAACAATAATAAAATATATATACATAATACATATATATATATATATATATATATAATACATAAAATTGTTAATACATAAGATAATACATAAAATTTTTCGTTGAAAATATATAGTGTAATACATAACAATAAAATATATATTATATATAATACATAAAATAATACATAAAAAATTGTTATATAGAATATATACATAGATTACTTTACTATATTACACAAAAATATCCGCAATACGTACAACGTAAAATTGATTAGAAATTTTTAGAAAATTTTTAGATTAGCATAGCTGATAATCTATCGCGACTAAAAAAATAATTAATAAATTTATCGCTTGTGTTCCTCTCAATTAAGAAAAAGTAATTTTAATGCGAAATTTTAATTCATTTTATAAGATTTTCTAAAAGAAATGTTCGATGACGCGGAAAGATAAGTAAAACTTTGATGTTACCCAACAATTAAATCAGAGAAAAAATTAAATTTCGCGGTTTAAATTTCGCGAATATATATAATAAATAAATTAATTAATAATAACAGTAATATTTAACCACAATACACATAATTTCTAATAATCGGAATACAACGTGCGCAATATAATTATTCTCATTTTGTGCGACAATAAAAATATTGCAACATTAGAGGCGCATTTCATATAATTTGCACAATATTATAGTATACGTAAGGAATCAAACGCGGATGCAGAATCTAATAGCCGATTTCTTTTCAAATATACAATTTCATGTAAATTTCGCGATCAAAAGTAAAATATATATCTTGTTCCGCGAACAATTGCAAACAGGCTAAACTCTAATAATTCTTAAAATAATCACGTTATCGCCACGCTCAATGAAGAATAACTGGCCTAACGATTAGACCAGATCAAAATCCCTCTGCCAAGTGACACGCTGGTTAATATCTGACAAAGAGAAGAACGATCCTAAAAGTGGGAAGCGACTTCAATTTGTCTTATTTCTTCTATTTCGGATCTCGCGAAATTGACCCACAACGGATAGTTAAGTGATTCATTAAACATCAGAATCTTCTCTACAAGAAGGAACGAATCCCCGATCTGATTGCTCCCGATAACAGCGATTTCGCAGCAGATTAACGACTGTTACCCTTCTTATCATTTTCAATATATAATATTAAAATTCGCGTAAAAAAACATCTTCTTCCATTTTAAGAAATCTTTTCTTTTTACTAAAAAATGACTGGATATAATAGGTTTTATATACATGTTACAATCAAATATATTTAAAGGTAAAATGAAATACATGCGCTTTTATCGTTGCTTGATTAAATGTGTGAATAATATTAATTTTAGGGTACCAAATGTGCTCAAAATTCGAGACAAATCAAATCTGATAACAGCAAGATTAAAAAAAAATTCAATTTGAATATTTAGCAACATCAAATGAAAGATTATCAAGAAATTAATTTTTCTGTTACATTTAACAGTTAAGACTTAGCACGTAATAATAATTTGCAGATATCTTACTGATATCAGAGTACCCATTCGATTTGTCTCGAATTTTTTAATTAATCACACATTTTATATTATATCATGCATTCCTATTATATTAAGAATAATATTAAGAATAATATTAAAAATAGTTTTTCAAATATGTCACAATTTACGCACATGTATTTTATTATATATACACTCTTATCTAAAATAAACTAGTTATAATATACATAAGATAGTGGAGCATCCAGTAATTCCTGCAAGTGGTTTCTTAAAAGAGACCAAAAATAAAATTAATTCAAAATTAATTAATTAAATATACTTGTTTGTAACCATAATTTTTCAAATAATAAAAATTTTGCACAAAAAAGTTTGCGCAAAAACTTATTAAATTAAATTTATATTTGAAAAAGTGAATTTTATCTATTATATCCATTTTTGAATTATTATTTTCATTATTAAAATAATAGTGATATTAATAGGAGGATATTAATGGAAGAACATTTTTAACAAAAAGAGAAAATATATCTTCTCTCAAAGTATAATGAATTTTGTAATTCGATTTCAAACAATGTACGGTGATTGTCGTTAAATCACTGCCAAAACATTGTTTCCAGGAACTGCCACGAAAACCTGGGTTTAATTCCTACTCTGTAATGAAACTTTCAATTTTCAATGAGGCACCGAACTAAGCGTTGCGGATAGATCTCACAAAAACCGGCGAGAAATAACTGTCCGCAATGAAAATCGTTTCGATTCTCCGCCAGTACAAACCGCGCATTTGCTAGCGTCCACCTGACATGAGGGACAGCGATAAGGCTTCTTCGTCGAGACAGCGATCACATCCAAAAACGTGAAAAGAACGCAATTGTTTGCAATATAATTTATTATAAAATCGTAAATCAATAAATCGTAATCTATAAATATTTAACGCGATGCGAAATTCTCGAAATACATTAAATTAAAAACGATAATCAAAGAAAATTATTTTGTTTTATAGATTTTAATTTCCGCATGATTGATAATGTTTAATATTTCGCAATATTTTATTTTCGAACATACTTGTGTTTTCTATAATATTAAAAGAACGACACATTTTACGTAAAAAGCTAATATCTAATTATTGGGTTAACATCGTGTTTTTCTTGATTCACTTTTATTTAATAACCTTTATATTATGTAAAAGAATTTTTTTTACGGTATTTGCGCGATTACGAAAGTTTCTCGAATTTATTAATAATCTTTTAGTATAAAAAATAAGCTATCCAAATATTTGAATAATTTTGCAATAAAAATATTCAAATAAAATATATCAAATGTTAATTAAACAAATTTTGTTATTGTACGTAT